ATAAATACAAATTTATATATCTTTCTTATATATTTTTTATATTATCTTTAACAACAACAATATTAAAAAAATTAAGCCGAAAAACATTGGAGTAATATTTTAGAAGTTAAATAATTAACTTGTATACTATCTAATTAATTTTGTGTTAAAAATACTGGTTGAAAAAACCAAATCCATTTTGATAAGATTTCGATTTTGAAATAAATTATTTATATACATAAAACTTAGATTATTTGCCAATTAATAACTTATTAAAGCTAGAGCAGTATTTAAAAATAAATGAAATATGAGATTGGTCTAGTGCTACTTGACTATCAAATTGCATACATATACACATAATATAACTTCAAACGTGTCTGACATAAGAAGTGAATTCAATGTGCCATCAATTATTTTTTCTGTAAATGCCTGATACGTATAGTCTCTTAACAAAAATTAATTTTTAAAAAATTAAACGAAAAATTTGTTGTGTATATGACACAATGGTGTTTATTTTTATTTCCCCCTTATTTTAATAGGAATAAAGTTTATGGTAAATAAAATATGAATTTCTTTAAGGCCAAATAAATGTTTTACAACTTTTTACCATTCCATTTTTAAAAACAAAAAAATTTAATGACGAACGTATGCTTTGCTGTATCCATGTATAAACATACAAGCAATAATATAATGAACGCTGGTTTCTCATATAGATGTTGACGATGCTAATTTAAATAACTCTTGTAAATTTAATAAATAATCTGATTTTCAATAGTAATGTCAGACCATAAGAACTATTTCTTTGTTAAATAAAATTTATATTGCAATGTTAAAACTTATTTACTTTTTATTTCAAAGTAGTAAGTTTTATATTTTCTTTAATTTTGATTTTAATTAATTAAAATATTAATTAATAATATAAATATATATAAATACTTTTTTCAAGATATCCCATAGTTTTAAAATGTACAAAAATAACAATATATTAGACTAAATGAATACAATATATAAAGATAAAAACATTTTCAAAACAAAAAGCATCGTCAAGCTTTGGACATGTTTAAAGAGTTCATATATTGGAATGCAAAGTAAGAATAAATAACTTACATACCGATAAATAATACAATAATGATAATATTAATAATAAAATAGCAGTAACTGTACTAAATATTACGCAGTATACGGAATGAGTTTTAAATAACTACAACCATAGATTATAATATTCGTGCGTATCTTGTTAGATAAATTTTTTAGAATATGTGGAGTGCCCAATTTAATTCTATATCCTCACGTATTATACATATGTATATATATTACTTTAAATGTCACAAAGTTACTTAATATTTAAATATGTTTTTTGTGTATACTATATTTGAAAGTATATTATAAAATTAGTACGCAGGTTTATATATTTAAATTGGGTACCCTGAAAAATGTAAAACTAAATGAGCTAAAGTCAAATGTTTTTAAAACTATATGAACGTTCGAAAGATCTGATTACTGGAGGTTTTTTTAATATGTAAGTGCATATAAATTGATAAAATTAGTTTTTCTTAAGACCAGTCATTAACATTATACATAATTCAGGTTTATTATTTCAAACAATACCATACGTTTTTGTACACCTATGGTTGTAGTCAAGCTTTTGAAGTACATTGATTATTAATATGTTTGCTTGATGCCGCCATATTAATGAAAAGACAGTGGTTAATAATTTAATTTAAAATTAATAACATTTAACGCAGCGGATCAGAACAAATTTTAAAGATTTGGTACAACTATAATAGGATGCGATGGTTCTATCCCCTAGTAAGACGCATTATTTGAATATTGCTTTTTTTAAAATGCTGTAGCACATAGTATTTTAAAAAGAATATATCGATTCTATA